GAATGGAGACGTTACTGGCGCCCGCTCGAGGAAATCGACGATTAACGGTAGTGCAGGTTATACAGGTGATACCCCCCTCAGATACCTTGTAGTTAAAAAGCAATCTTCACAGGTATTCGAGACTTGAAGATCTAAGTGCATTTGATGCCCAGGTACCGAGCCTCGATTATCTACGCTCCAGTTGTCTTATATGCCATTGCTGAATCAGCTAAACTATTCAAGTTATATGGCTCAGAGCTTAAGCGAAATAATCGCATCTAGAGGTTTGACATCAATCAGTCACGTTGTGGTATGCGCCCACTACCATTCAAAATCGTAGTGGCGTATTGAATGCGTACCTGGGGGGACCTGCACTACGTGCGTCTGAGGACGCCAGTTTTCGAGGCACAAGCTCGAACTAGAGTTGTTCAGTAGGGTCAGATGATTTTTCTAACCTACTCTACTCCAAATTTGGGCCTCAATGAGGCTCTAAAGTCGTTCAATCGTTACGAACTTTGCCGCGCGCATCCTCGAACGCAAGTAATGTCACACACCCCCGGTATGGGTACATTTCCTCAATTCTGGATAGACACGGCAAGCCGCGCGGCGAAATTCGCGGCATTTTGGACGAATATGGTCCCTATCATTGGGGCCCAAATTTGAATTAGAGTCGATTAACAGATCATCTGACACACTAATGTACTCTACTTCAACTTTGTTCCCCAATTATAGGTGCCAAAGACGTTTAGAACGCCACGAATTTCGCTGCGCGAATTGTTGCGTCCATCCAGAATTGGGTGCATGTTCCGCCCTACCCTCCTTTCTTGCTCCCCTCTTCTCCCACCTGAAGGTACAGCAAAAACTTGTTACTGTCGTTGCCTTAACTATGAAAAAATAGCAGTGTAGGTTCATGATATAATTACCAGTTATGGCTGCCATTTCAGGTATCAAACACCAACCTTCATGCTTTCCTTTTCAGCTGCCGAGATGATGGCTTATTTGTCAACATACTACAAGAAAACTATGCTTGGATGGGGTTTTCTAATTGACCCCATATTCAGCGATAACGACCGTTTTCCATATCTCACAAAAGTCATACCAGATTCACTAAAGTAAGTTACTAGTACACTAACTTAACAGTTATTGTAAAATTGATGAAATACTTCTAATGCTGAAACCTCGTTTGGGAATGGTTAGACATTCTGGTTATCAAAACTCGAATGGAAAGGTCACAGGGTACCAAATGGCGATCTATTACATGCGTGGTCCCGGAATCTAATCACCGTTTCATACTCGATCATCCCTTATCTAGGATGCGCTCTCGCATCTAACTTCCATTAGAATTGTAGTGGTGGTTCTAATGGGTATGTGGCCTGTACAGTGATTTACGGTAGTCAGTCGATGGACAAATGAGTGCTGATTAGCCTCCCAGACAAGACCGGTACCAATTATCCGTCTGTGGAGCGATGGAAGGCTTGGCTGGCTCAAGGAGGTATCAGTTTGGGATTTGAAACCTGAGCCATGTGTCAGTGGGCTAACTGCCACCACACCACCACAGAACAGCATAACCAAAATCAAAGATAGTTTTGCAATTTGAACTCTCAAATATCTTCAAAACCGATGTTTATCTTTTTTGCCTACATATTCAGAATGATGGAAACATTGGTGCCATTGTTCCGAATGTTTGAATGGAATCGTGTAGCTATCTTTTATACCCCAAACGAAGTGCAGTACTGCGACACAATCATCGACGATGCTGACGTAGGTTGACTTGTGTTGTATTCCAAAAGCTGGCGAAGAATTCTTCACCTTTCTACAGACAGCATTCGGTGATGACTCGACGTATGTGATAAATATCGTGCAGAAAGTTACATGGGATGGTCAGGACAACGATTACATAAGAGATCAATTGCATCGTACTAAAAACAATGCAAGAAGTTAGTGTCTCCATTGAGTATTCCATTCTTCGCGCTGAGTTCGTTATTACTCATTCGGGTTGGTGTAACCAATCGCGACGATATTGAATAAAATCAATGGGTCGCATTCCAGCGAATAGTGCTAGTTTGTCTCTAGTTTTTTTTTTGAGTTATACAGCTGTGAAGATTATTTTTATCACCAAGTAAGACGTTTTCTCTTGAGCTGAACGTGGTTAATTCCAGAGTTCTTCAAATTCTAAAAAAATTCGGTTTTCTGAATTTGTACTATTTCATACTGCTGGACTCTCAAGGGGTTGACAGCGTGGTTGTGCAAAAGTGAACAACTCAGCAATTTCTGTGTGTTTGTGCATGTGTGTCCGACCGCAATTTTAGAGTCCTTGTTCCCTAGACCTAGAGCATTCGAACTTGGTAAAAGTACAGGCAACAGGATGGGAACACTGGTGGTCACTAATCGAAAGTGTTCATAGTTGATAGGTTCTGATAAGAAGCCTTAAAAGGCGAAAGTCACATTAACCATTAATCATTTCATATTAACGGTGAAGCATTGGCGTTTTTTTAGATGGCGGGGGGTAGGAATTGATCGGTGACAGGAATTGATAACAACTGATAGGGACTGATAACGGGTCATAAAAGATGAGAGGCACATGGTCTATAACGCTTTTCGTGTTAATAATGAAGTCATGACACTTTGACTAGGCAGTGGAAAATGTGATAGAAACGTAAATGATTGGTTATAGGAATTGATAACAGCTGATACGGACTGACAACGAGCTGCAAAAGGCGTGAGCCACTGGGTCTACAACATTGGAGCCTTGGTACTTCGGCGGGTAGTAACAAATATGAAGGGAGCGTAAATGATTGACTACAGGGACTAGTAACGAGTCAAACGCGAAGTCCACTAATTCTGTAACGAACTTCGTGTTCACAGTTGAACCTTGGCTTTTCATTAAGTGATGTAGGAAGTGACAGGATTGTATCACCTATATCATCGATTTCCTTGAGCGAACGCCAGTAACGTCTCCACTCGCCTTTGTCACGAGCCACAGTGGTCCAGTGAATCGTCCTCGCTTGAGGAGCACTAGTTTCGGTATTGCTTTCGTCCAGAGATTTCGTGACGAAGCCTGACCATCGCGTTGGTAGCCGAGCTAATCTTCGCTTGCCGTCCCGAGGGATTCCAGTCAGTAATCGATCTGGTCTAACGGTCATCGTTATACGTATAACGTGTTCGGCCCACCTGATCTTCGATTTCGTGGCGTAAACAACGGCATCCCTGATCTTCGTACGATGACGGAGCTCGGAACTCCGGATTCCCTTCTGCACTTGCGTATATAGGGAAATTCCGAGCATCGTCCTTTCCAAAGCGCGTTGAGTAATGCTGACAGCATGCTCATCCTGCTTTCGTAGAGTACAAGTCTCCGAGGCGTCTGTCAAAGCAGGAAAGACAGCAGTGTCGAAAAGATAGCACGGAGCCAGCGCGTGCTCTCTGTGTTTTTCACTACTCCCTCGATATTCTGATGTGCTCCCCACGTGGCGCGTTTCCTTCTGCTTAGCTTTAGAGCTAAGTTTTTCATCATGTTGAGTTCCCAACCTAGACACACGAACCTAGAGAATTCAGATCATTCCATTGAGCATTGAAGTAGCACTAGGTACCATTTCGTTTCTCATGAATATCGTCATCGCTAGCTACAGTCTCAAGCCGATCGTTCCACACACTGTCAAACCCGGCCGTTATTCCCTTTCGGAAGGGAGAACTGGGGAGACGACATGTCCGTCTTGCCCAAAGTGGTGGTAGACAGATAGCGTGGCTGTTGAAGGGATCCGAGTAGAAGTCGTACATGACCACCTCCGTTGCATTTTGCGAAGCAGTAACTCCCGTCGAAAAGGTGAGCGCGATGCCTGATGTTCTTTGAGTTCTTCACTTCTCTCTTGATTTAAATACTACCTGCTGCTCTGCGCCAAAGCTAGGTCGTTCATCATGTTGACTTTCCAACCTAGATACACGTAGCTAAAGCATTCGCTGATATTCTTCCCTTATAGCGTGAAGGGAGCATCAGGTACCGATCCTTTTTTCATGAAAATCGTCTTCGTTAAGTCCAGTCCTTATAGAAAAATATTTTTGTTGGTTGGCATGAGTTCTTCGTCAGGACGACAGAGGGAAGTTGTCGTGGTTTGTTATTGGCGAGCTCCGTCAAGCTTCGCGAATGCTGCTTCCAGTCTCGGCGGCTTCGTCCATAATTGCTGCTCTTCTCTCTTCCAGATCTTACTTTATCGCTTCTCTGCATAGCTTTAGGAGTTCGGAGTTTGTTGATGATTTCTTGCAGCTCGCGCGATTCCAAGCTGGCGTATCGGCTCGAGAGTCTCTTATCTACTTGTAGACTCTCTGCTTTCCAAGAAGATCGTGAAGATGTTGGACGAGCCGGTTGTATTTTTCATCGATGTTTTCGATAACGGGATCTTCCCATTCACTGGCAAGGGAAGTAAAGTGGTGCCGTTTGATGGAGGTCTTGGTTCTCTCTCCGCGGGCCGAAAAACAGGTCGAGCGCGGAGGATGCGATGGTGCTATCCCATGTAGAACTTCGATCGACAGGGACATCAGTCAGGCAAACCCCCGATTAAAAATGATGTGGTCTTTTCCGTTATGGAACTGTCCACCAGGTGACTCTCTTTTCCAAATGGCAAATGAGAGGGCTTCTGGTAGTGCGAGGTACCATGGATGGTGTGGGATTACCATGGTAGTTACATAATAAACTTTCACACTACTCATTCCGTTCCATTTCGTTAGTCCCGATGTGGAGCTCTTCAGCCGTATTTCTGGGGCCAATCTTGACGTTAAAATCACCGACGATGAACTTGAAGGAAGGTATTCTTTGTAGAAGCTCTCCAGATCCATATAAAACGATTCAACCCCTCCGATGTCAAAGCGTAGACAACGAAGATTGTTAGAGTTGGGTTGAACCACATCTTTTCGGGTTGTTAGTTTTTGTACGGATCGATGTTCATGGCCAAGTGCGTATTGACGAGGACACCTACACCGCCGACGCCTCTACTGTCGCATGTTCCAAGGAACAGTTCTTCTCCAGTCTCAAATACAGCGTGCAGCGNGCGATGCCTTCTCGTCTCGGTCAGTCCGATGACGTCGTACTTGATTTTCCTAACTTGCATCATCAGGTCTTCTATACACACTTTTGATGGGAGCGTCGGTGCGTTGAAAGTTAAGAACGCTATCTTAGTCCTTCTCCTTTTAGGCCGCCTTTCTCAGCCCTGTGTTATTGACAGCCTTTCCCGAGCGGTCCTTCACAACGTTGCCGTGTCAAGGGCTTCCATAGGTTCAAGGAAGGAGACCCACTTATACTACTGTTTTGGCGAGTGGATACCCAACATGTAGCTTGCCAGACTCTGACGTGGGAGCTGGGCTGACTCCAGAGGCTAGCTAGGCTATCTCAAAGTGGACGAGAAACTTTAGTTTCGGAGACGGCCCCGAATCGCCTCCCAGTTCCGAATGCAAGCTTTGGCTGACTCGATGGGCAGGATACCAACTGCACCCACAGACTCTCCACACACGTATGCGTGGATGCTCCTGCGAGAATCAGGAGGTATATCGACCAGCACAGCAGAATCAGGAAGTCCATCCCCTGAACCCTTCTGCGTATCCGGGCAAGTACTGTCGACTTTCGGTCGGCAATTTACCTATCCGCCACCTGGGGACGCCGTACGTAACCTCGTCGCTAACCGGCTTCAGTGAGGAAGAACCTTAGTGAAGGAGATCCGTAGGCTCAGGTTATATAATACATAGCGCTTCCAATTGAGCAGTGCCTTCCATAGGCATAAGATCACCTTCAGCCTTGGCAGTCGCAAAACTAGTAGCCAAGCAGATGCATTTCGGTCACCGTCTGATTCATCAACCGATTCTTCAGAGAATCACTTTGAAGCCTCGTTTCGAGTATACCGCGGAGGCTATTCGGTGTTGGACTAGGACAAGGAGGACCATATGGTACTGTTTTTCGATTGTCATTATTATTGATGAATTTCAAGTCTTTGATGTGACCTTGTACTCATGAAGCGGTGCGAAATCCGGATATCCTACTACATGTAAGGCGCTAGTGTCGGTGTGTTTGTGTGTTTTTGTTTGTGTGTGCGTCGGAAACTCATTACTGTTGTCCACGCGGAACCATAGCGTTCAAATTTGGTTGGAGTGCAGACGGCAGGATGAGAACAGTTATGGGTGGTGACCGGGCTCCGCCCACAGGGAAGCGGGTTCTCCAGAAACAAGTGTTAGAGCGCACAGAAGGCAGGATGGAAACGTTGACGATAGAAGGGGCCTTAGATAGCAAGAAACACTAAGCAATTGAATGCTAACGCCTTTGTTATTTATTTACGATCTAGCTTCGACTCTCCTATATCTTTCACCTGAAAAGATGGTAAGTGCACTGGTTCATTTCTTGCTATCAGCTATCCAGCGAAGTTTACAATTCAATGAAGGATCACGGTTTCTCTCCACTTCGATATCATTCTGGCTGCACTTATCCGACCGCTAATAATCTTGGATTCTCAACTAATGATATACCCGCGGTAAAGGGAGCTTTAACGATAACGGCAATCGGTACTGGTATTATTACGACTCGACAACATCTGTGAGCATTATTCAAGACCTCGGTTGCATAACACTTGAACCTTCAATGGGTCACTATTTTCAAAATTTGCAGCAGCAGATTGAGAATTTTTATCATTGGCATGAGCATCGGCACATTTTGAGTGCCGCTTGCATGCCCTAAATTCCTCCGTTGATTTTCACATACAGTGAAGTATTATTATTTGTACCGATAGGGAGCGGCCGAAATGCCGAGGATACTCTCTCATAAGAAGAAGGGAAGTTCGGCGCTACCCGATCCGAACGCTTATTCATAAAAATGTAAAGTAAAAATATGAGTATATCAATCCATAGTCATTAAAAGCAGTGAATCGACAGATGTGCTGAAAACCTGTCTACTCGGCTGCTTATTTTTGGAACGCAAAATTTGACGAGGACCTTATACCCATGAAATGCACTGTACTGAGAATGCAGAACAGTACTGTGTACTTTTTTACTGTTTAGTAATTATGATGTGCCTCGACACACCTCAGTCTCGCCGTAAATTTATGAAGATTGTTTCTCACATGGATATGGTTTCGGAGGAATATGTGTACGTAATGGTCGGCATGCGCGGATTTGGATTTGGTGCGTCTCTTTCATTGTTTCGTTTCTATTTTTCCATTTTTGCGTTATAAAACCTGCTTTCTTCAGGTCAAGTAGCGAGAGGTAATAGAGGTAAGTATTTCCAGCAATTGTGTGAATTACTGTACTTCTATGAAACGCAAAAATGTTTATTGATCCTTTCAAAACACGTTTTCTTCGTTTTGGAATGGACCAATATTGCTAAGAAGGCGTCAGTTTTGAATATTTGACTTTCAAGTTTTAAATTGAACTGAAAGCTCAATAAAATTCTTGAAGATGTACCGCAAGTTTTCGGTACTTGCCCTGTTTAGGTGTAATACCTTGGAATTCGCATTCGGTTTGTAAAGCGCAGTTCAATATAGTAGGCCTCTCAGAATAAATTTGTGGTTTCGAGAGAATGCATCGGGCACTGTAGATTTGTTTTCAAGATTCGTCATTACAAGTTTAAAGTTCAAAATTACAATCGAAGATGACAATGTTCTTACAGATTACCTATTTTGGCCCATGCGTTATGTGGCCTGCCATCGCCTAATACTGCCTGATATAGGTGGTTTCCATTCACATCAGCACCTCCTCAGAGACAATGTCCGACCAGATTAAGGCATGCAAAGGGTTCTTTGGTGGCCTGAAACGTTATCATCATACAGGATTCAAACCCGTAATAATTTTTTCTGCACACTATGCCCTGGTCCACTGAAATCTATCGACGGCAAAGGCGCGGTCAACGATAATATGGTTACTGTGTTATTCCCGTAAGAATACTCAGTGGCCCCCATGGGTGGTAGAAGGGGCCCTCTCGCTCCCACAGTCTCGACGCTTAGGGCATAGTGGAAGCCCTGTCGCTGTCTTAAGTGACTTTCCCCCTCTCGATTGATGTCACGTCAGACGAGTGTCGAGGCAATACAGACTGCAAATATTCATTCTAGGATCCACACACAATCAGCTGATCGCCCAGTGGTGAGGTAATGTTTTTCTCCCATTCTTTTTTCCTCTGTTATTCTTTTTGCTGCCCGATCCCTTACCTAATTTACTACCCCGAGAAGCTGAAAAAGGGCTATTTCTGCTGTAACTAGGGTTCTTTGTTTACTCATGCTTATAAGCGCGTGAGTTTTTGCTTATCGTAGTCTGTTGTTTGCACCAGAGCCCACAAGTACGCAAGACGCACTGTGCGTTGCTCGTCCAAACGCCCCACACTTCTTCATTCTTCTGTCTCATTCGTCCAGCTCCCTTTTTAACAACTTTTTGAAGCCTTTTTCACTTCGGAAACACCGATCCATGCAGATTTTATCTTCTACTTTTGTCATAATCTGGGTTACCCAAAATTACCGTGAACTGTGCCTTTAGGCCCCTCGCAAACAGTAAGTTCAGTTGCACCTGTTGAAGATGGAGACTATTTAGCTAGAAAAGGGTTTGTCGAAAACATTTTTCGAAGTACTTCTGTGGTGGTGTTCTTCGTTGAAAACGTGTTAGTAGCTGCCAAACTTCATTTCAGGTGGTCTAGCAGCTCCAATCAGCACGCGTGAGTATTCCCCTCATTTGCTCATTTTTCGTGTTGTGTACATAGTGTTCACAGTTAAAGGCCGAAAATCTTCTGTTGCATTACAGTATCCAATGGATTGACGCCTTTCTGGGAAGATTTAGAGAACAATCACGCCGACGATGCTATTGTAAAAGAAGCAGCCAAACGGATGCTGGCGGCAAATTTTACTCAGACTATTTCTAGTGGCAAACATGAGATTGGAGATCCACTGTGACGAATTTCAGGTGGACTTAAATGGTGACGACGTCGATCCACAAAAGCTAAAAGATTTCCGTGAGAACGTGGTTGCACGAGTACGAAACGATCCACTGTATTGTGACACGCAAGCGTGTTTATCGAATGATGGAAAGACGGTATGTTCAACTAGATTAGATGACCTTTCTGATCTGTGAGTGGGAAGTCATACGTGCAGGCTTCCCAGGTATCCCAAGTATCCCAAGTAATACTAGGATACTGCTTTTTGAAGATGAAAATGTGATTCAGTGCTGTTAAAATTGATTAGTTTTAGTAAAACTGTTCAGTAGAACACTTAAAATTTTTCTCTGTATTCTGAATTACGCACCTTCTCGGAATAGCTCAGCACTGCTATTATTGTAATACGATGGTGTAACTCCTAGAAACAACGAATAGGGCAGCGAAGCTGTAAAAGCAAACTAAGAGTTCTTCAATTGTGGATGCAGCTCCACTAGACATTGTGTTAGATGTATGGGTGTATACTAAGTGCAGGGGTCGATCTCCATTACTAGTGAATGTGAAAGTTGAATTATGTTGTCAATTTGACAACTCTGAATCGAAATGCCTTTGTATCCAGCAATGAAGAGCAAATCGTTGGCCATCGGTATTTCAGATGGCGACGTGGGCACGGCACCTTCATGATGTCTTCTATTTATACGGATTGGCTTTGAATGATTCACTAACAATGGATCCTTCCGGAGGACATTCTAACGCCTCTACTCTCACAGAAGCGATGAAACGAAGTTTCGTAGGTGTGTAGTTCATCAGTTTCAAAGAGTTCGTGACTGATTTTTGGAAGGGTTTGTCTGCAGTACGTGGGTGAGCCGTTTTTGCGAGACTTTGAGAAAGATAAACATGGGGCCTTCCAATTCTGACAAATGACTGCAACACATACGCGATATTCAACATCACTGCAACGAGCCCCACAAATATGTTGAAGATCCAATGAGGCTCATCAGCTTTTCCATTTCAAAAAAATGCCATTGTAAACATGGGAGAAGGCGATCATGCGAAAGTCGTTGAGTAAGCATATCTGCTGAGGTTTCCTGCTATCTGCGGTTCGAACTCTTTGTTATCGTTGCCAAATCCCCATGTTTTTGCCATATACACCCTATGTTTGTCCTGTGCTTGCTGCATGCGCAGGAATTGGCAGAGTAACTCCACAGCTTCGGGGAACAGGTGTACTCTGCAAAGAAGGATAGCTCTGGGATTACCTGCAATGAGTTGTTCGCTAATGCTCATCGGTTTTGCTCTACTCGTTTGGCAGCCGGGTTCACCTTGAATGCTATGTTGCAAATTTCTAACCTTTCCAGGACTGACCGGATTGGTTACCATAAACGCAAATGGATCACGTATTCCACTGTTTTCGGTCTACGTCCTTGATGACAACTTCAATCAAGTCACTGCTATCAATTTCACGATTACTGATGGAGTAGCCGTAAGTTAATCTTGGAACCGTTTGCAGTTACCGCTCGATACCGCTGGACCAAAACCATTGCTGATCTTTTTGAGGTAATGACGAAAGGCTACACAGATGAAGCAACAACTCTTTGGGGAACTCGAGGTGGCCGTCGGTAGGATTTCCTTTTACATTACCATTGTAAGCATTTTATAGTGTTGTATTATAGACCGCTCGTTCGTCCGAAATGTGGCTACACGGGAGCTGATTGTCCTAAGCCATTCTGGGAGCAGCATGGCATATATGTAGTGGTTGGAGCAGGGCTAATAGCAATTTTACTGATTGCGACGGTGGTATTAATTGTTTACGCTGTAAGGTGAGGACTTTTGTGTGAGGGCTTTATCTTTTGTTACTTATACATACCATCAAATTTAAGAACCTTTGTTGTCACTTTTACGCCTCGAGAAAAGCTGCTCCACAGATAAGGTGCGGGAATACCGCGGTGCGCTAATATTCAGATCATGCGGAAGCCTCGAGAAGGCGCAAGTGCAAACCTTTTGGCGGGAACCACGTATCAGTTCATCGTCGTACGTCGGCTGCAATTTTATATCATTTCCGCCTTGATGAAGCCACGCGAGGAGCACCGCCGCCTAACGTCTTTCGTCTAACATACTATATTCACCCACGCCAGGGTACCCTATCTTAGTACTGCTTCTTAAGATTCTACCTCTAGAGTTCGCAATGATGCAATAACCTTAGCTTAGTATTTTGTTGGTATTAACCCTTTTTACCCTTAGAGGCCTTAGCCTACTAGTAGTCACACAATAACCTTCTTCACATACTAATTGCTTAGCTTGCTTACGGGTAATTATGCTGTTTACCCTTGTACACAATTTAGTCTTTACCTTTTTACTATACTATGAGATATCATATGAGCATATATGATATCAGCGTTTCATTTCGCACGCTGATACTTCGCATTCATCGTTTTTTGTTCACTTTTCTTTTCTCGTTCTCGTTTTTCCATGTCCCCTGGAATTCGTCGCAGTCAACCCAACCCGGATGTCCGCCGATTCGCTCGACTTCTTGTACTTTAGTTCCTTCCGCCTTCGTCGACCGTCGTCAACTCGGTCAGAGAGTTGGAAGGCCTTAACTGGTACCCGCGTCAGGATTGAGGTACTACGCCTCCGTGCATTCGCAGGCGCACTCACTTACCCTCGGGTGCGTTCAAGGCCCAGGAATTCCACAACCGCGTTCTGAGCCTACGCAGAGTCACGACATGGTGCATCGGCTGGAATCTAATCCGGACCGCCCGCGTGGCAGGCAAGCATTCTACCTCTGACTCAACGATGCAGTCTTCTTGTTCAGAGCCCACGCAGAGTCACGATGACACAGAAAAATATCATCTACTAGTTTTAGGGAATGAGAAAGTATGTGCATTTGTCTTTGAATTGTTGAGTGGTTTATTGGGCTAGGTGAACCCAGTCAGGTGATCTAGTCTAAATGTTTGCCATCGAAAAATATCATTTGTTGAATGGAAAAAGCGAACGAATCTACTACTGGAGTAGCGCTCGAATCCTTGCTACTCTGTAGCGAAGCTCCCATCCACGAAAAAATGCCAACAAAGTTAGTATCTGATTGAGCCATCGTTAAACTCCATTAGCCGATTTCGTTGCTCAGTTCGCACGAGGGATTATTCGTTTTTACTTTTTTTAGAATTCGTAAGGAAGAGGAAAAGCAGCAGCGTTCACTATGGCAGATCCCTTCTATGAAGCTGAGAAAGCCACCAACTTCGGTATGAAAGTTAGCATTTGCTTAGCCATCTTTCAAACCAGCTTTTGCATTTTCGCATATCCAGTTCATACCCATCTTTGAGAACTAGTGTTAATTCTGCTGCTCTTTGGCATAACTTGAAAATTCGTAATCCTTCATGTTTTCAACATTATTTTGTGATTTATGTGTTGATGTTGATGGTTTCTAGCGAGAACTTCAACAAGAGAGCAAACGTTCACTACAGTCGGGTCCATCGACGATAACAGGAGACTCAAGACTTACACAATCGAATTTCGGCGACTACGAGATCTATTTTCTTGAAAATGACGCTGTTCTGACTAAAACATATCCAGCAGTTGGACTGACAGACGATGACAAGTCTATATTTCCACAGGTCTGTCATCACTTACGGCCTACTTTAGTTAAAACTACTGAGTAATCAGCCAGCCTAAAAATGGTAGCTAGACACTGACAGCAAGAAAGGAACGTTCATCTACAACAGAGAGCTGACAACAGCAATAGACCTTCTTCGCTAGGCCGAGATGGTTTCCAATTCTCAGATTGCGACAAGATTTTTATATATTGGGCTGTATGGAAAGTCTCCGACGATTTTTGATTCATCTTTGAGTGAAAATTCTCAGAAGAAGAAATACATTGATTGAACTATAAATACTTCATTCTGTTAAGTAAGAATTCGCCATCTTTGTGAAAGTTTCAGTATCCCATTTTTATAGGAGGTTGCAGACTTAAAAATCGAAAAACCCTCACTTGTGCTTTTCACAGTCCTCCAGCGGATTGAACGATTTTACATTCAAAGGATTCTGCCGAAACCTAAACAAGTGCTATTCTGATGTTGCTACGTCCGGACCCCATGAGGGGGGTGGTCAGACATCCCACCCAAGCTTTGGCAATTTTTGACAAGTGGCCGAAAGTACGTGTGGTCTGGAGGTATCATGTTGGAAGCAACGCCCACACGACTGGCCTTTTGGGGTCGCTTCTGGTCTGTTGTCGCCTTCAAATTTTCTAGCTAACTATGGTACCTTCCCGAAGTATCGTTTCAACAGCTCATAGTTACTGCAATCCCACCAGCAGCCGCATAGTTACCACACCTGAATTTTGACTTTTGCAGGGGTTTATGACTGCTCACTAGGAAGGCTCCACGATCGTTTCCGCTCCTCATTGTTGCAAACAACCCATTTTCGTCATTCATACTCGAGTTTTAGAAGCAACTCTTTTTCTATCATTCAAGCTACGAGTCGCACACGGAAGCGCGTCCATCATATTGCGCTCGCTCATTTCGTGGGAAAAACCAAGTTCCAGCAAATGATGAGCGGTTTTTTGGATTTCGAAACCCGGTGGAAATGTAGTGGGGGGAGGGCACCCATCCGAAGGTCACACTATCAAGAAATGAGCTCATTCTAACGTGTTAGTCCTTGTTATATCAGCACTGTATCGGAAGCGTTGAAGATGATGGGAACCGACCACCTTAGCTCTTTTATGCAGTCTCAGCTAGGGAAATTTAGTTTTCCAAATGAGCCTAAGTAGGGTAGGAGCACCTGGGTGGGTGGGATGATTTCTCCTGCAAACAAAACAGAAAAAAATAAAGAAAACTTGCCCACCGCGGTGTTCCTTCCCTACGAGAGCCCTTATTTAAAAACTGGCATGTCCATGATATAACGCGACATAAAGCGTTTCATTGACGTCATTTCTTGATAGACTGGCCTTCGGATGGGTGGCCCCCCAACTACATTTTCACCCGAAACCCTAAGCCATTGTCCTACTCCACGAGTGGTGATGTGCCTTCGCTTCGGTTAACGTTTTGATTTTGTCATTTTAACTAATGATAGTCTCCTTGAGGGCTGCAGGTCTTCGAGGGTAAATTCACTCTATTTGTATGCCGCAAACCAGTCACGTACTATACGCTCCTTTAGACACTGTCTACTCAAACGTCACAAATATTTCTCGCGGCTTGAGCTGCCTTCTAAGCCTTGCGGTTGAATAAAAACTTTAGATGCCGAAATGGCGCACAGTGGTTCTCAATTTACACACGAGTCCTGTACAGAAAAACTTTGACAAATGTTAAAGAATCACAACAGGAATATAGAAAAGAAACTACTCTTTCAGAAAACATGTAACTTTATGAACTTGGGTACTCGATATTTTGTACAACAGTTGGTAAATCCGGAGTTCGAGAATCGGCGGAGACTTTCCGAACAACCCAGTATTTACTTGACTGAATAAGAAAACCAATAAGGAGCTGAAGGTACGGATGGCAAATGAATTTTCTCCATATGAGGTACAGCAATACATTCCATGACTTTGTGCGTTTCTACATCTCGACGGTAGAGCGCTTTTCGACAAATATTCAATTAGAATCGTTTCTCATCAGGATGCAAGCACAAGTAATACATTCCTCGTGCCAAGAATAGTCTCGATCAGTTGCATAACCCTAACGTATCAGCTGGGCAATGATATGCCCCACCGTTTCGAATTTGTTACACTCGAGCCAACGATAGCAAGAGATTGGAGGTGGCAGCCCGACTGTGTCAGGCAAACAACACCCATTTTCACACGCTTAGTGCTGTTCACCCACGAAATAGTGGACGGCTCATCGAGCGAAACCAATGATTTGCATTCGTAGGAAAAACCGTGTACTTCCATTATCAGGGATTTTATCTGTAATGTTGATCGATTATTCAAGCTCCCTCGTAATCATGGAAGTACTGTGCATGCAACGGCAGTCGCAAATCTGTATGGAAGTGTCATAGCGCACATGGGCTGGAAATATTTGACATACGCTGAATTGAAACTTATCATATTCCTTCTTCTTCCCTGTTCATATTTTCTCTTGTCTCAATGAGCAAAAGAGCATGTGTCACATCAGATGAGGAAATTGGATCACGACAATGTTAATCGATTTGTTGGGCTTTCGATTGATGGCTCCGAATATATAGCTGTTTGGCGGATGTGTTCCAGAGGTACCCTACAGGTATGATTCCGAGAAAGGCCTCTTTTGATAAAAATGTAGAACCATTGACCTATACATAGTTTTTGAAACTATAGCGAATCAGGTCACTGTTACAGGAGCTTATTTCGAAGGGCTCATTGTGGTTTGATCCGTTTTTCATGCTATGTATAATGAGGGATATCGCTGAGGTAACTCGTTTCATATAGGCATTATGATCAAGGAAACCCAAGGTATCTCCATCGTAGGGTACTCGCTTCCTGCAAAACTCGATTATTGGTTGTCACGGTCGTCTCTCTTCGAGAAGTTGTTTGGTGACTGACAGCTGGCAAGTTAAAATATCAGACTATGGCACCGATTCTTTGCGAGAGGATGAACGACTCAAGAAAAGACGTAATTTTTGATTTGCAAATTTTAATCGGGAGACGTTTGTGCTAACGTGTCTATTGGCTGGTTTCGAAGTTTCCTTCTAAGCTTTTCAGAACATATTGAGTTATCACGGAGTAAAATGGAGTCAGACACACACTAGGTAAATGTAACACCTTTTTAAGAAGCTGCTTCGAAAATTGATGGCGCTGTTCTGTAACATAAGGTTCGGACACAAGATTACTGCACGTGAACCATCACGCATCATTCCAGCGAGCGCTGTAACTTGAAGAGCATCGACAATTTCGATAGCTAGCATGTCGAAATTGTCAAGTTCCCTATACACTTCCACCTATCCCCCCCCCCCCCCCCCCCCCCCCCCNTCCTTATACACTTCCACCTATCCCCTCCCCCCCTCCCGGTTATTTCTCTAGACTTTGCACATGCGGGGAATAGAATTCTAGTGCTACTTCAGGTACCTGCTACCTGAAGTAGCACCAAATTTCTATTCCCCGCATGTGCAACGTCTAGAGAAATAAAGATGCTGAAGAGGAGATTGGCGGCCACCTTGATCTGTCTACGCCACGCTTTTTTGGCAGTAGTGCCTCTTGAATTCCTCTTGTAAGATGAAGGTGGCAAACGTCGGACTGGCCACTTAAAGTAGGCTCTGGATCGTGTTCTTTAGAAACGTTAAAGTCCAATCAGAGTTTCTGTTGGCACCCTCAAACTGTGGCTTGTGCTGTCTCACGCTGCCCTGTCTTTACAATGCTCTTCATTACGTCCACCGATCGTCTTAAATTTCGGGCTTACCGCAGAGCTCCCGTCATGCACGTGAAGGATTCAGATGATAATCCAAGTTGAAGGTTATACATATTTCAAAGTCATGGACATTCACTCGGAATTTTTCTTGTGTGAGGTGCATGTGATGGCGAAGGCACTGGAATCCAAAGGGAAGGCTTCAGCAGCTTGAAGATTTAGGTTTACATTTTTGAACATTTCTAGTGCCAAAAAAACCATACACGAATACTTCGAACAGAGAAGAAACTTCACTTTGGCATGTTTTGCTCACGCTAATTCTGGAATGTAGAAATGTCACGGTAGTAAGAGTCTCGAAGAATTCGATAATAGAGAAGGTCAAGTTATCACACGTGATCGTAATGAAGTAGAAGGTATACGAGAAAAAAATCAGGCCGGAAATTCTGACATAAAAGACGGAATAGATAGTCATGGTCAACCTGCTCCTCTTCTAGCTAAGCTAGAACGCTAACTAGCTCTATAATTCTTGGTGTGCACTTTACTCGTCCGAAATGCTCTTGATGAACGCTTTCCGGCATTGAGTGCATCAATAAAACCCGATAGTTTGACACAAGCTTCTACTGATGCCTAAAAGGCAAGAGTTCTCTGTTCCCCTTCCTAACCACTACCAAATGAACTGTAGCTGAAGATACAGGCTTTCTGAGCTAATTTCCAGCTAATACTACAAGGCGTTCTAGTCAACACTGGCGTTTTTTCCAACACAAATTCAGTCACTGGAAATTAAATAGAGCCTCGTTCATTAGACTCAGCTGAACTTGATTCATCCAAAATGCCTTTCTCCTGATAATGTCACTAACTTTTGTCCACCATAACTTTCTAGAACTGCTATCTGTGTTGACTACATGAACTACGTTTAGTTGGCTTGCAGTGAGTGAACATTTCATTAAGGTCTATTATGGCTAGCTCCTGAACATCTACGATCTCCGGAGACCTCCATGAAAAAGTCAAAAGAAGGCGACATATACTCTTTTGCTATTGTTGCCTCTGAGGTTGTAACGCGGAAAGCGGCATGGAACTTGCATGAACGGAAAGAACGCATTGACGGTTGGGCAATGAGATCTCGAGTATTTTTCCAGCTCCATCTTATTATTTTAGAACTGCTTTATATGTTAAAAAAGGGAGGACCTGCACCACCGCGACCAGATCTCAATGTTGACGGCGAAATCAATGTGGCAGTGGTAAAAATTTTCATTTATTAGAATCAGTTTTACTCATTGGTGTTGTGGATTAACGTTCAAAATCTCTGAATTGTGATATCTTGGTGGGTTCAAGCATCTCTGGACTATTGTATGTGTCCAGAGGAGGTTGAATAATGCATTCTATAAGTAAACATGCTGGGACTGCCTGGTCCCGTGAGTAAGCTGGAAATTTTATGGGAGTCTGTATTAATAATGTGCACAACTCATCAACTCCTCATTTGTACAACACACTAATAGAAAATCAGTCCTTCACTTTTTTCCTAGAGGGTGACCATGATTCCTCGTGTTGGGCTCTGAAAGTGAAGTAAAACTGCAATTCCTAGGAAGCGGGCTACTGCTCCCGTCGATTAAGCTTTAAGCAACAGAAGTCCTCGATGGCGGCCATCAAAGCATACATACTGAGTTTCAAGCATGAGTTTTACGTTATATTCGAGTCTATTAGCTGTTCTTCCTACTCCATCCGACCAGAGAACAATGAGCTGGCAAAAAGAATATTTTTTGAAGTATAATCTTGAAGGGTGAGAGATATTGAGCGCTATTTCCGAAGGAAGAGAGTTATGGAAAGGAGAACTAGGTTAGGTGTCAATATCAATGTGTGCACGTTTTATAGCTTCACCTCATACGAGACTGCTGGAACGAAAAACCGGCGGACCGCCCAAATTGCGAAACTCTGTGCAATATGTTAAAGGTAGGAGACAGTGCTGGCATATGACATTTTTCTGGAAAAAAGCGTGAGAAATGAGACTTTTTGAAGGCGATAATGCCAGACAAGAAATCCAATTTAATGGATCATATGTTCGACATGTTGGAAGACTACACCACAACACTTGAGTTGGATGTCGAGGAGCGAACAAAGCAATTGCAGGAGGAAAAGAAGAAGGCTGACATTCTTTTGGGAAAGATGCTGCCCAGGTATGAACGAGCTGCCTCTATCTTGTTTTTCCGAGCACTTGCAACATTTGGTGTCAAAAAATTACTTCATTGGTTCGTGAACATCGGAAGATGACTTTGCTGCCGGTGAAAATTGTGCTAGGACTGGTAGATGGCAGATCGGAAGCAAAAAAACTGATAAGAGATCTGAAAGCTCTAAAAATGATCCCTCTTTTACTCTATTTGCGCCTTGAAAGGATCATAGGCGGTCCCCTTGATGGGTTGGCCAGTTGAAAAGTTATGAGTCCCACGATATCTGCCATGGCCAACCAAGCCTTAATTCCTTCTAGAATCGGTTGTTCGGTACTAAACCCGTCTTTGATGATAAAAACACTGACCTGTACATCGGCTGGCCGCCGCAAGTCATTGTATAGACCAGATACGCATTCATTACGCCACCACAATTATGAATGAAATCCGAATGCTGGGACGAATAACTCAGACGGTAGTGATTAACGCTAATCAAGGCTTTATTTCTTATCCTGTATATAAGTGTCTCATCCAAGCCATACATGTTTCCTTTCTACCTCAATACGACAATCACAGGCAAGTGGCGGATCGCTTGAAATTGGGACAAGCAGTGGAACCAGAGAGTTTCGATAGCGTCACAGTATTCTTTTCCGATGTGGTTAAATTTACTCAACTAGCTGCTAAATGCACACCGTTTCAAGTACGTTGGAAAATTTCTCATAGGGCCTGCAGCGCTTTGTTATTTCTCGTTCTTATTACAGGTTGTAAACCTTCTCAACGACCTCTACAACGGGTTTGATTCAATCATTGAGGAGCACACTATATACAAGGTAATGGTTACTAGTCAGTGGTTGGCTTTTAAAAGAGGATGAATGGCCTGCACTCCTGTCTTTTTCCATATTCTAGTAATGGCAGAAAATGAAGAAAAGCAGACGTTGATTGAATAAACATATTTATTGAACGTGAAATCCACATCATCTCCAGCGTACTCACTATGGGAAGAGATTTTTTACGGGCCATACTCCATGAAGCAACCACCATCACAATGCATAAGTATCATTTCCAATAACTTTACACCCTGATATAGTGAGCCTAGCTTTAAAGGCACAGTTCACGATAATAGCTACTGAGTACTTCTCTTAGGAATACCCAGTGACCACCAAGGGTAATAGGAAAAACCCTCTCGTGCTCAAAAACTCGAGGTTAGAGCATGATGGAAGCACCGTTTCCGGCTCACACGTACTTCCCACCCCTCGACCAATATCACATCAGACGAGTGTCGAAGCTATACAGTTTGCAAGTATTCCCGTCAGGGTCCACACACAATCAGCTGATCGCCGAGTGATGAGGCGATGTTTTTTCTCCCATTCTTTTCCCGTGTTATTATTTTTGCTGCTGCGATCCTCACACTATGTCTCTACCTCAAGTCTCTGAAAAAGGTTGGCTGTTTTCGCTGTTACTAGGGTTTTTTTTAACTTATGCGTATGAGTGAATGAACTTTTGCTTACGGTAGTCAGCTCCACCAGGACTCACATGTACGCAATGACGCACAGTGTGTAGCTCGTCCAAACGCCCCATTCTTCGTTGCTTTTCTGAACTCATTCTCGTTCGGCCCCCTTTTTAACGGTTTTTCAAAGCCTTTTTCATTTTGGAAGCAGCTATTCACGCAGTTTCTTCGCCTTCATCGCACTATTTTCCATCTTTTCTACCATTTTTCGTTATAATCTGGATTGCTCAAATTTATCGTGATTTGTGCCTTTAACGCCACTGTGAAAGGTGTCTCATTACTATTACTTGCGAAAATTATTTCACAACTATCCTTTATGAGGAGGCATCCTTTGGAAAAAAGAAAGTTATTGAAGAAACACCTTCTGACTACGAAAGAAGGGTATAGTCGAGAAGATCTGATGATAGGGGAGAATGGAAGGTATGCTTCCACTGACCTATTATTGCCTTCGAACCCACCAAGTCCATTCACTGATTTATAAATTAGCAGTTTCGTGGCTACATTGCTGTCCTGATCCCCTTTTAAGAATAATCTTTCAGGTAGAGTCGATTGGTGATGGCTATTTGTGCGTCTCTGGTCTCCCGGTGAGGAATGGTACAGCTCATATCAAGGAGATAGCTGAGCTGTCACTATCGTTCATGAAGTTTGTGGAAGAGTTCAGAATACTTGCTCTTCCGAGAGAAAGAGTACAACTTCGAATCGGACTAAATTCCGGTATTTGTTCTGACCTTCAAAACATTTTTGGTCTATAATAAGGTGATTAGCTGTTGAAACTTCTGCACCTGCTCCACCAACTTCTGAGTGCAATAATAGTCAGAAAAACATGACCTGGTTTTGATGCTCAGAAAGTGTCAGCAGAGAAGATAGATGAGGTCGCAAACGTTGTGGGTGAATTCAGTGACACTGCCTTAAAGGCACCGCTCACGATAAAAATGGTTATTGAGTTCTTACCACATTTATACTCAGCGGCCCCCATGGGTTGTATAGAAGGGACCCTCTCACTCCCCCAATCTCGACGTCCAGGGCATAGTGGCAGTCCCGTTGTTGCTGTAGTTCGCGTTCCCGCCCCTCGGTCGATGAGAAGAATATTAGCAGTTCAACAGAATAATAGCAGGGAGAAATCCGATCAAATGTTTGTGTGTGTTGTCTGCAATTGCNGACATTGCGTCGCCTTCGTGCACTCGCCCGAACACTCCCTAACCGCCGTTCTTTCGATGTGAAACTCGTCCAACCCCCCTTTCCAGCTCTTTTTTGACCCTATTTCTTTTTGTTCATCGTTTTTTGCGCTTTCTTCGTTGTTGTCGCTCTTTTCTAGAGTAGTACTATCAATTCCCGTCAAAAAAGGTACCCTAAATTCATCGTGAACGGTGCCTTTAATATCCCAGCAGTGCGCGTGTCTCATTGACAAGAAAGATCATCTTGGTGGGAAAAGGATGTATAGCAAAGAACAACATCGCTATTGGTGTGCCAAAACTTCATAGTTCTTGATGCAAGTACTTCAATCAGCCGCGTAGCTTTGTTAGCAGCTTTATTCTGCAAGGTAAATCCGAAGCGGTCTGAACTGTGTAGTCGGGGTTCCGTGAACAAGGATTAGTCCAGTAGCGTTAATCATAATGAAGTTAACCGTTCTTGAACTATGCCTCCCGACCCGCTTTCGGTTAAAGAGCCTGAAAATATTTGCGGCTATTCGTCCAAGAAATTATGAATAGTCAACAGCGCATATAAGGTCAGCACATCGCAGAAACCGAAACTAAACAATTCTGCTAATAAAGAAGGTAGGCTCTGATATAAAGTTAGCACTTCTTTGAGAGAAGATAGAGAACCGTTTTTTGAGATGAATGGATTTGGCAGAACTTGAAGAATTCTCCTTGAAAGTCGAATTCTCTGTAGGCCCTTGCGTCGCCGGTGTCGTTGGCCTGAGTATGCCTCGCTACTGCCTATTCGGAGACACTGTGAACACTGCATCACGAATGGAAAGCAATGGAAAACGTAAGTCCCCGCTTGAGCATTATTTTTGGAAGAGTCAGCATAAACCTATAAAATAGTCAGAAAATCAACATATTTGAAACAGATTAAACCAAAGTTTTGCTGAGGTTTTCTTAGGACTTGAAGCTTGTTTCCTGCAATTTCGATTCTTTCAGCTGGTCACATTCATATGTCCAAGGGAGCGCACGACTTGCTTGTTAACGAATACCATGCAGATTACGAGACACAGTCAAGAGGAGAAGTAATTATAAAGGTAAAAAGAACATGTTTCTGATCTGCAGTGATATTTGAACTATCACACGCTACATATGTGGAGTTCAGTCTATTAAGTGAAATTTCTGAATAATTTCTGGATATTTGTTTATCTACTTAGTTTTCTATACACTCAAAGGTGTGCTCAATCTGGGCAGTAATATCCATCTTGCAAAAAAAGATTCAGAAAGAGTAAAGAAGTACAAAAGTGTCCAATTAAATGATTTGTTACCCCACAAAAAGCGACCTGACGGAGGTGAACTCCCTTTTCGCCTGAAGCTGAGCAAGAAGTTCGAGTCCCTCGCGATAGATTGAAGTATTCTCAGACGAGATACTGTTCCTTCTTGATTGCGTTTTCAAGTTGAATGACGTCGGATCTTGGCCCACAGCTAATTTATTTAATTGAGACTGGCAAATGCGAATCTCAAAAAAAAAGAGGCCAGTCAGCCTTAAGAATTCTTGGACGACTTGCTGACCTTTTTTGAATTTTCCTTCTTATAATAAGGCATCATGAAATATAAACTACACTTTGTCTATGAAATCACAGAAGCATTTCTGTTGAGGATTTTCTACGTGTCCAAAACTATTTCAGGGAAAAGGTGTGATGGAGACATTTTGGTTGATTGGCCGTCGAGCCGCTTCCTCTGCTGGACTTCCATCTGAAGAACGTGCGGAGCAGAAAACAGAAAAGCATTCCGAGCAGCTCAAAGACGATCCAAACAACCCAGCAGAGCTGAGTGCTCCAGAGACGACGCCACCATCGACTCCGGGCTCTGTTTCCTCGAATACAATGTACAAAGAATATTTGCGTAGTAACACTATTGAAGCATATTAGTCGCAATTCTTTTTGTTGTTTGTCAGAACTGTATACAAAATTCCTATTGATTATATTTTTATATATTTCAACTGCCTTGAATATGAATAGTCGTATATCGCCTTGCACGAGTACCTCCAGCTAGGCAGCCTTACCAAATTTTTATACAGTAGGGGAGCCGGCACAAAGCTGGCCTTTCTCCCGTTTGTGGATACTTCAAAAACAGGCATTCCATCACAGGCGGGATCAACGGATGAGGCTGTCTAAAGTATGGTTCTCCTTTTCCTCTATTTTCCTCTATAAGTATGATTTCAAGAAGAAGCACGTGGTTATGCGTCTTGTTCACAGTTGTAACACTTAATGGAGGGTAGAAAGTCGTTGGATATTATTAGTATCGACTGATATCATATCGCTAAAGTGTGTCCTGTGCGTATCCATTGAGAACCCAACTCTGGAGGCTCTATGGGATGCATCTCCCGCATCTATGCTGTTGCTGACTGATGATTACCTTGTCAACCACACTACAGTTCCATATTGATCGCTATCGATTAATGCGCCCCCAGTAACGGTGAAAAATCTATGTTTTGAGCTTCTTCCTAGCTGTTATATTCTTGGAGTTTTAGAACAGTAATCAATCCCTTCTGCGGGTAATGACTTGCTGTGGTCAGCAGGTGTATAAATCAGTGATTTTATCCTCACAGACGAGTCTTGTACCAGTTCGACCCCAGAGTGATGAAAAGTTTGATTTCCCCAGGCGGATATCAATGCTGAGTTCGTACCTGTGGCCATGAGTGTGTGATAGTGCTCCACTTGCCTATTACACCACCTACACCACTTCTGACATTTGGAGGTAGATTTTCTTGGACACTAATTTCACTGGCAATCCTCAGCTCGTTTTGTGCCCGGGCAGGCTGACAAAAGGCACTGACAGACCGACGAATAAATAGGGTACACCAAATAACTGTTTCATCTAATGCTAAGGGCCTTATACTTCGCATCGAGAAAAAATCTCTCGAGCATAATACACAGTTTCAAACAGGAAATAAACCCCTCGAAGAAGAAGGGTAGTACGGTTATGATCATTCCTGCTCAGGGCATGGTATACGATATACAGGACAAGCTACGAAATGTGCATACTTGGAAGGGGACTGGATGATTTGCAGTCATTTACGAAGATCGCTTTTTCCGTCCCGATCAAGGATCATTTCATCAATCGGGACCATGTCCTCAATAACATTTTTGCCACAGTTCTACGAACAGGCTGGGTCAGTACTTCTTCAGCTTGGGCCGGACTGACCGTTAAACAGAGCCAATGCCCCTGACCCCTTCATAAGCCAAATCGGTACTCAGTTTCCCCGATGAAAAATAATTGGCGAGGGATATGATAGCGACTCGCCCTTAGGTAGGATGAGCTCACTTCTGTACAAATGGGAACTAAAGCCATCGCCGCTGAAGAAACCAATGTCATCGACTAGTGACCAATGACGACCAATGAATGACAATACGGTAGCAGCAAAACTCACGATATCGATGAGGCGCTGTTTGTGGTGGCTTAAGGGAACTTATTCATATTTGAAAGTCAGCAGACGAAACAAATCTCAACCTATGAATGGGACGCTGGATGTGGTTGTCAGATGAGCCGTCATCATCGCTGCTGAAACGTTTTTATACGAAATTGAAAAGAAGTGAGTGCGGAACACAACGGCTTACAGTACAACTACGCACTCTCCGTACACGGTGATCCTATCACAACATCGACGCTTCTATTATTCATTTAGTCTAGGGCTGCCCCAGTGGTCGCACCGACCTCGCATTCTGTGTAGCCGACGACAAATCTGAAAATGATCTATTTTTTCCCAGGCATGTCAGCCATAGAATTCGACACCTCACGAATATTTCCCTGATGAATTCTCATCGGAACGCTTTTTCTGACTGGAAATTTTCTGCATTTTCTGTAAACTAACAATATGATCCAGACATAGGAACAGTTTCAAACTAAATACGTGCCATTTTTTTGAACGAAGGATGCGCCGTAGTTCTGATCGTGCAAACACACAACAATATCAGAAGCCTCACAAGGTTGGCGATTTAATAACAAAACTTCAGTTTAGGATGGGACTCGAACCCGTACTTGTGTTTTCCGGGCACCGTGCTCTATCTCGTACATTACCGTACCATTACGTGCTCGCTTGGCCTCGCTTTCTTATAACTTGTATGTCATAAGCACTTGGGACGATTCATTTATCTGTGGAAATGGTGGTGGTGGCAAGTGATGCCCGGTCACACAATGCCACCTCAGTTTTGGATACTCGCTCAGTCAATTGAACTCTCCATCTCTCCGAGGTCGGTAAATTGGTACCTGACCCGTCTAGGACAGTGACCTGTATATCGGATGGCCATCTCGAGTCGCTGTATAGGCCACCAATGCTTTCAAATGGGAACAATTGTTCTGAATGAAAGGCAAATGCTGAAAAGGATCACCAAGACGGGATTGGTGAATGCCACAATGTATTTTGTATTTACGCATTTTAATTATACTTTACATATATATAATTCTTGATGTCCGTTCAGATCTGTAAGGGGCATTTCACGAACCCAAAAATGGTTCACCATAGGCAGAAATGTGATCGCGAAGATTACCCAGTAACGGCTCAATTAAATGGTATGAGGAATTCCGAATTATCAATATTCCACTTGCAAGACCACAATTCTTGAAACACTGCAAAACTTTGCTCTCCAAAGGAAAACAATCTGAAACGCCCCAATTTAGTCTACCAGAAAACGGTCACCTTCGTGAAGTGTGTTGAATGATTGTAAACAGAAACAGAGTTGATTATAAACAGAAAGATTGTTTCTAAACAAAGTCACAGAAAAAGAGTGGAATGTTTAAATGTACCCTCCCGAACTGACAAATGATATTTGTTGAAAATCTAGTAAGAGAAGGAAACTCCATACTTTATGGTCATTCTACGTACCACCACTGAATGGATGAGAGCCACTTCTGAAAAAAAAACAATGGTGAAAACAAATAACGAACTTTTTGTTCCAGATAAATGACTATATGTATGGAAATTGAGATCATTTATATTAGTTCGGCATTTATTTAGTTCGGCAATTAAGTCCTGCGGCAAAAAATTGGAAGCGTGGAAAAAATGTATCAACGGTGTGAAAACGATAGTAAGGATGATATACTTGTAGGACTTCTCCGGGCAGTCAACACATGAGTAAATAAGGGCACGCGTTTGAGCTTTCGCAGCATTACGGTCAATGAATGGACTACACCCAATTCGTATCATCAACTTCTACCAAGCACGCCAAGGAAAAAACGCGGGTGTAGCGGCTCGAAATATCAGCAATCTATTCGATGCTCACCGATCGACGGTCAACAGTCGGTTGGATCGCTTCACTGGAGGAGATACTAGCCTTCGGAGTAGCGCAAGCGTCGTCCCTTAATTTAATGGAGGCTGAAGGAATCCACCCCCTTTATTTGGCCAACGGGGTTAGAGAAGGACGCTCAAACCGTAAATCAGGTCCCTACAGAGGGAGAACGCACGTCGGAAATTTGTTTTAGAGACCCACGTCAAAAGTTCACCGAACCCACTTGGTTCCCGGTTACTCACCAGTCGTACTTCCGGAGTGTTCCCCTTTTTAATTACCATGTGCTCCGCCTTTTTGAGCATCACGTTAAGAAAAAAAATTCGTAACTCAATGTGATCCAAAAACGGCAGTAAATTGCTTCTTTGAGTCACAGCTCCCTCACTCCTGAACAGATGGCATCAGTGATTGGCCAAAGATAAGAGAAGGTTGTTGTCTTTTTCGGTAAATATTTTTCCAGAAATTGATCGACATGAAAAGTTTTAGTAATGATTTAAAATGGGTATCTATTTTGTCGCTGGACTTATTTGCCAACCTAATACAAGGAGGACGTAGATGAGCAACGACTTTTCCGACGATTTTTCCATTTTATTCTTCATAGAAATTTTAGAGAAAGTTCTAGAATTTCTTGGTAGATAGTTGGTAGAAAGCCCCGATTGCCCTAGAATTCAAAGTAGGGTCAGATTCATGACATTTGATACTTAAAGTTCAACGAAACTGATTATAAGCTCACATGTTTTTTGACGATGGGTGTGATGTTTTGTGGGCTAGCAGTGTTCATCAGGAACCAGAGCGCTACCAGCCTTGACATTAACACAATTGTGACCAAGCAGGGCTTTTCATGCCTTGGTTAAAACGGTCTTTGCTCCGAAGCCATTTCAGAATTTGTCGTTCGGTCTTAATTTAGATGCGATACGCTCACTCACAAGACTAAACGTTGAACTCATAGGATATCGAATACTCGAAGGGTAAAAATACGAAGAATAAAGTTCTTTGGGTGTGACAACCCCGATGTAGTTAAGCCCCCTTACCCGCATCAGACATCTCTTTAAAATAATGGTAGTGTTCTGAAGTGTGAGTGACTTGTCTAGTGAATTGGGTACCGACGTACAACGCGTTGCTTTGATTTTCCTGGACGACTCGGGTTTCGAAGTCAAGCGACCCCTGAGGATTGAAAGACTTGTTCGGATGCGCGGAACCGATACAACATTAGATCCTTGTGCCTGCCTGTGTTGTGCGCTACCATACCACCTCCGCGTGTTTGCGACTTATTGAAGTTTGTAGTTCAAACTTCCTATCTGCCTATCCGACATCAAAGCGATTGATAGGCCCATATTTGAAGGAGAAATTTCAATAACGGTGGACAACACACCATTTATACTAGGCATTTAGGAAATACCTATGCACGTGCCATGTTGCGGTACTCTGCGTAATCACTGTTGTTTATCGGACATCATTGGCTAGTCTTCTTTCAGGATTCCATAGACGCAGAACGGTACTGCACTGCACCTCTACCTTGAACCCTCAGTAGGGGAACTGATTGAAGGTCAAATCGGGAATGCCTGGTTCTGATGGAATGCGACGGCTGTACGCACTGCACACGAGCCGAACTGTTAACAGTTTTCATTGAATAATTTTCATTGAAT